GTTTTATAAAATAAAATGAAAGGAACACGTAAACTTAACTTTTTTGTGACATGTTTAACGACACCAGAATGCGTTATTGTCGAAAGCAAATGTAATACATGTACGAGGGAGCTTAAAGGAAGATATACTCTAAGACACCATTTATCTTTTGGAATGAACCTCCACTTCGAAGATACACCAAAACATAATCACTTTAACGTGATTTCATATTTGTGTTTAAGGGTAATGAGTTATGATGGTAGATTGTGTTTAATGAGTTAAGGGTTAAGGATTGTGATGGTTTATTGTGTTGAAGGGTTAATGGTTGTGAGAGTAGAATATATGATAATATAAATGAAAGAGGAGGTGTGAAAAATAATGAAATAGGAGGTTGATATTTATAATGAAACTTGTTGCACTAAAAGACGAAGTATGATTCAACCTAAAATAGCATGGATCGCCTTCGAGGTAGATCCGGTGAGGTGGGAGGTGATCCTATATATCGAGACAAATAGTGTTTGGTTTCCAAAAATAGATATATATGGGCTCCACCAATTAATTTTATATTTCTTTTACTTTTCGTACTATTTGATCAAACTTGATATGGATCGCCCGCCATGGTCAACCATACCCCCAAGAGGCGATCCATATGGTTATTTTGACAATTTTAATAAAAATTGGTTATTTCATCAATACATCAATTATATTCTAATCGTTTTGATGATTTTTCCCTAATATAATACAATATACGATATGCGTGTTTTTGCGGGTATATAATTTTTGGTGGGTCTTGGGTGTGTAAAGGCCAACTACCACATGAAATATACCACCCACATAAACCTGTTTCCGTCAAAACCCTATTTACGTGTTCTTTTTCACCTTGGAGACGTTCTCACGGTCAAATCAGGTATTCCTCTTGATCTTCCTTTCTGTTACTTCTAATTTTACTATTGTCCAAATGTTCGTGTTTCAATGCATTAAAACCCTAATGCCGAGCCTGCAAAATGCTATTTTTCATTGCTTGTTACCATTTCGTGATTATTAAGATAAGTGTTATTGTTTATGTCACTTTTGCTGCTTTCAAATGCTTACAGCAACTTCGGATTTTTGGAATTCCATGAATTCTGAAACATGATCTCAGTATACGAAAGGCATACTGATACAGCGTTAATGAACAAAAATATTACCACAAATGGCGGTTAGTTAGGCCACATTCACAGTGTGGATCGATGATGAATTGTGTCAAATAAGAAATCTTAGAATTAAACCCTGAAATATAAATTGTATATTTGCACACACCACTTACCTGTGTTCAAACCTCTGTAATCCTCTGCCTTGTATAAGAGAACGTCAAAACGACTTTGTGCACTGCACCTGTGCCGCTATTCCGAAAATACTTTTCCTTCATGGAAATGCTAACCATGCTACATGGTCTTGGATGCTTGTAGAGAATTGCTAGCGCTTAGGTTGCTTCAATGTCTTTCTTGTACACCTAAGATCAATGTATATGTTTTGATACTCATGCTCTACTGCACCCATGTGGTATAAAGGCAATTCTGGCCATAACCGTGGATGTAATGCTCAGGCTCATAGCTACGTTACTCTTGTATTGTTGCCTGTTTCACCTCCTGAAACATATTGCTTTGAGTTTGAGCTGATTATCAAAAACTACCTTTGTAATCATAAGGCTGGGACATTTCTGTTGTACAAGGTTTTGGAAAACAGAAGATTTTTTCACAGTGAGTTATGCAATTTTCATGCTTCTTTGGCCATCCGGTGTACTTGTTCCTCTGAACAAGTAGGATATTTTGTTTCTTCCAATTCTTGATACCTAAGATCTCTTTAGATATGTCGCTTCATCTTAACTTCTGAAAATATAACTAATGCATGTTGACTTTGGACATTTTCCGTAGTTCACTGCTCAATCCTTACCTCCCCTGTCCTGTATTTTTGGTAAGAATTGTATAACATGATAGATTCCCTACAACTAATAGCAATTTAACCTTATTATACCAAGTTTCACTGCTCAATCTGTATGATACATTCCCTGTCCAGTATTCATAGTAAGAATTACATAACATGATGGAATCCCTCCAAATGAGTAGCAGTTTAACTATGCATTGATCAACGAGTGAACTACAAGAAAACAACATTTAATTTGTGATATTTTGCTAAGACTTTCCACCTCTTCTCACTGACTAGCACTCGTTTTGATTAAATGCATCTCTGATCGGTTTTCTGTTGCTGCAGCTAGAATATGCTCTAAGTTGTCACTGCAAACGTCTTCTTCTTCCAAAATCACTTCAGTGAAGACCATGTAGTGGATCAGAAGACTAAAGAAAAGTGGGCTAGAAAGGTTCAGTTGTTTCACATCAAGCTAAAGGAATGAGGAGTACGCGATTCCCTATACGCTATTTGATTGTCATTTTGACCTTCATCTGCACCTCTGTATGTTACATCGAACGTGTGGGCTTTTCAATTGCATACACAATTGCTGCAGATGCTGCAGGAGTTAGTCAGTCGAGCAAAGGCACTATACTGTCAACATTTTATTATGGGTATGCTTTTTCACAGGTCCCTGGTGGGTGGGCAGCACAAAAGATTGGGGGAAGGCGTATTCTACTTTTTTCATTTGTGATATGGTCTCTAACTTGTGCCTTGTGTCCATTAGATCCAAATAGAGTTTTGGCTCTAATTATAACTCGCCTGCTTGTTGGGGTAGCTCAAGGCTTTATCTTTCCCTCTATTCACACCGTTTTGGCACAGTGGGTTCCCCCACATGAAAGGTCAAGGTCTCTTTCTGTCACAACATCCGGAATGTACCTAGGTGCTGCTATGGGAATGCTTCTCCTCCCGAGCTTAGTGAAGTTTAAGGGCCCACAATCTGTATTTCTTGCTGAGTCAGCATTAGGTGGCACATGGTCTCTGCTTTGGCTAAGATTTGCCAGTGATCCACCTCGTTCGGATCATCCAAAAGCAACTGCAGCTGGTTTTGGAGAATCTTTGTTGCCAATCAGAGAGACTCAAAAGTTGAAGGCAGATAGAACTAGTCAAATCCCATGGAGGAAAATTTTTCTCAGCCTACCAGTTTGGGCTATTGTCGTCAATAATTTTACATTCCATTATGCTTTGTATGTGCTTATGAATTGGTTGCCTACATATTTTGAACTTGGCTTGAAGTTCAGTCTTCAGGAAATGGGTTCGTCTAAGATGATGCCATATCTGAACATGTTCATTTTCTCAAATATTGGTGGGATTATTGCTGACCACATGGTAACGAGGAGAATCTTGACTGTGACAAATACACGAAAGGTTTTGAATACTGTAGGTTTTCTAGTGTCTGCGTTCTCATTAATGGCGCTTCCTCTTTTTAGAACATCATGTGGGGTGGTATTTTGTTCTTCCATGGCTCTTGGTTTCTTGGCATTAGGAAGAGCTGGATTTGCGGTGAATCACATGGATATTGCTCCTCGATATGCTGGGATTGTGATGGGAGTCTCTAATACAGCTGGTACTTTAGCTGGTATTATCGGGGTTGAGCTTACCGGCCAGCTTCTTGAAGCTGCAAAAGTGAATAATTCAGATCTTTCAAGTCCTGATAGCTGGAGGGCAGTCTTTCTAATACCAGGATTGCTCTGCATTGCAAGTTCTTCTGTTTTCCTCTTCTTTTCAACCGGGGAGAGAATATTTGATTGAGGTTGGTTTGTTCCACATAATGCACAGTTTGTGGTTTTATTTGATATCGGATATGATATACAGAAGCATGTCGATACATCCCGATTGAATCTTCCTCTATCATCACCATTTTTTCTGGCACCGTACTTTATCCAACAGAGATGTATATTAAAGTTTACAACCAAAAAAATTATATTGTGAAGTTAGTGAATTAGATAGTTGCCCTATATTCATTTTCTAGATTTGTTTGCCTGTATCTGTTGTATGGTGAAGCGCAGTCTTATATGTATAGGACATGGTATGGTAGGTGAAAGTTTATGGTTTTGAAGAATTGGAATTTAGAGTTGAAAATGGTGTGCGAATGAGGGCATCCTAGGCCTAGCAGTAACGCTGAGTAACTGTAAATGTGAGCTGGAGACGTTTATTTCGTGTCTCTGGATCCTGTAACAATCACGTTGACATTTTTTCTTGGATAACTTTCCTTGGAAAATAAATATTTCAATCTTTTGCATCTCTGTGATCCCTATTTATGTTGAGATTACTAATTTTTGGTGGTTGATATCTTATCATGTTTCTAATTAATGTAATGGTTCTCTTTTCTAAGATGGATGTCACCTTTTCATTTGTTAATGGCTTTATGATGGTACTTATTATTATATATTTATTTTGTAAAATCTGCATGGGAACACAAAATTGTAGTTGTCAACAAGTAAAAGGTAAATTCCTTAAGGGTGATTGATGTTACAAAAAAAGGATGACTTCGTTGAGGAGACATCTCAAGGACACAGGTACAAGTACATTTATTCGATTCAAGGAACATGATGTTAGTATTGTGCTGAAAGTCACTCGTTTCTTGAGAAGTCCAATGGGATCTGGAATATCATACATATCCTACTTTGAGGCTGTTGATATGATCTTCGTTCCTTATGTAACAATCAAGTTGATTAGCGTGCTATGTAGGCATCTGATTCTATATACTGTAGTATCTTGTAGAATCCATATAGAACCATTATCTGTATGATCAATAGGAACTCCTCAAAATCTCCATTCTATTAGTGAACATGCCATTCATTGTGTTAGATAATAGGCTATTTGGCAGTTACTGAATGGTTTGGTGTAGAATGATTAAGTGTTTAGAATGATTAAGAGGCTCTCATGATATAGTGCAAAATGAAATATAATTGTTTGGTAATTGTTTACAATGAAATTGGGGCGCTAAATGGTTAAGGTAGGTCCATGATACAAATCATTCAGAGGGTTTTAAAACCATTAAGAGGCAGACTTTTCTTTTGCCAAACAAGATTCACCTCTTAATGATTCAGAGGCTGCCTCTTAATGGAACTATTAAGAGGTAAACAAACAACCCAGGTCAATATAATAAAGAAGATAGACCTTCTGCAGATAATTTCTTGAAGATATTGTTGCATCCAATTCGACATAAATATTGAATTAACTTAGACAGTGTTTCTCAATCTAAGGGACCTTTGGTATCGTTACATATATATCGAAGTTGATGTATTTTTGCATTTGCTCTTGTACTACTTAACAAGGCTTGCTTGCAAATCAAATGCATACAATATGATGAACACATGCCTTTTGTCCCGGTAGCATGTTTGTTTGACAATGTGAGCAGTTTTCTACCTTGAATATGTTGCCATTATTAATATTAGCTCTTTTTTATTACTCCTGCACTTCTTGTCCTTGTCCAAAGGTACAAAAATGAGACAAGCATACTCTCCCCCTGCTGCATGGAACGCACAACTATTACCACCTGGAGGTGAAATAATTTATTGTGTAAAGGGTTGAACATGTTAATATGTTTATGAAATGTATGAGGTTGAAGAGTAATGTATGCAATGCAGAATACCAATCTTATGACATTTCAATATCCACATGATTTATTTAATTTTTAGACACAGCTTCATATTCTACCAAATAGATACATCCACATATTAAAGGCTTCAAAGAGTTATAATTCTGCCAATTGTTTGACATTCATCGGATAGCAATCAGATGTTGGACCATTGTATGCCTTTTCAGCTAGAATTCGATTTACTGCTTGGGTAGGATGGAAGGCATCCCAAAAAACATGTTGGTCTCTGTTGATGCATGGGGCTGAAAATGGAAGGCACGTTATCTGACCTTGATTTCTTCCAATACCACAACACCCTCTATCAGTAACTGTGAATCCTGCAATATGATGAAAGATACGTCATTAGATTCATTTCATGTTTAATCAAGTATAATTAAGGTACACATGTATACACAAACCGTAGGTATTGGGGTTGTTTAATATGTCAGTGACAGCACTGTAGGTGTTCCCATAAATAAACACGGCATCAGTATAATTTTTGTGAAGTTGAATGACTAGAGATCTGAGTTGTGTGTTAAACATGACTGCCAAGTCATTTGCGAATGATGCACATGTTCCAGGTGGAGCAGAATTGGTCGCTAGTTGATTAGGAATGCAGCCTAGGGGCCCAATCCCTGCTATGAAGAACTTTGTGAGTCCTAAACTATACAGTGCCTGCAACAATGTGAAATTAGTTTGCAGAATATTAGCAGCTTGCGTGTGTTAGTAAGTGCATCAGCAACTGCCTAGAGAGACAAGTAGCGGTTAGCATCATCTATTTCTCTCTCTCTCTCTCTTTAAAAATCTGCTGATATAATTTAGATCTACCCCTTGTTTACATCTGGTTTTCAGTATGTGTGGGGGTGGACGAACATAATTTAAACTAAGATATGGTAAGACTTACTGAGATTTGCATAGCGTATTGCTGTATCAGAAGATCTGTATAGCTTGTGGGTGTGTATATATAGCGAGTAGGATATAAAGGAGTTAGCAAATAATTATTGATGTAATCATTGCTTCCCAGGATTAGAACTGCTAATGATTTCCTCAGGTATTGGCTCAGCTGCTCCCCTTCCATTTCATTCTTTAGTTGATTCAGGTTGCTTGCAAAGTTCTCAACTTGCTGCCTAAAGCTGAATCGTTCACCCTGTTGAATCACGAGCAAAGTCTTACATCATGTGTCATTTCCGTACCTCTCACTCCACTCTCTTAAAAGTATCTCGTATATCATATTTATATGAGCTAAGTTTGTGACATTTATATTTAACTAGACGATACAAATTTAAGGTGGGTGGACTTTACCAGATTCCTTCCCGTTTCGTCAAGAATGCCTGCTGAAGCTGAAGCATAGTTCACTCCTTGCATAATGCTTCTTCCTGTAGCATCAGGACTTGCATAGGCCGGAAGAAGTGGAAGTCCCAACAGATCTCCTGATGAGAGCGATAATGCGGATTTGTAAGAGTATCATGAGAGGTACATTTCTCAATGTAAATAACTCCCTCCTAAATTAGTCATCTTTTGACTTTGAGATTTCAACCTAGTATTTTCTAATTTTTTTTGGAGTTCAAAATGTACATGAATACACATTGTTAACAAATAAATGATTCTGTTCTAGCACTTACTATATACTTCGATGTATTATTGAGATTTAATTGAATCATACCCATTATAAAGTTGAAATCTTAGAAAGCAAACGTGGACTCTAAAGAAGCAATAGGCATTTAGCTTAAAGCTATTACTGCTGCTCAAGTAACCTTACAGTTGAGGGTGCAAGACTTATAAGAGGCAATTCAAAATATCAATGAGCAAACCTTTGATTAGTAACCAAGAAAAAGGACACAAGCAATCCTTTATCTGATTATTTCCATTGTCCACAAGTGAGTCTCCGCATTCAAAATTGCTTTTACTATTAAACCCTTAAAAAGATGTACAAGCATAATACTCGCCATCACTGTCGTTAGTCTTGATGACACTCTTCTTGTCTCCAATTCTCTTTCCACAGCCACTGATTACATGACAAGGAGGTTGAATGCCAATGTCTGTGTGTATGTATATACATTCATATATATAGGGTTGAGTTTAGAGAACATAGTTAAAGTAAGAAAACACGAGAACACCTATATCACACGGGATTTTGCAATCACACGAGAACATGGTCAATGCACGCACTCCCCTGGTTTGACCCTGTTCCTTAATCATGTGTTATAGATGTTCTCCTGTTTTCTTACTTTGACTATGTTTTCTTACTCTCTCTCTCTCTCTATATATATGGAGGGAGAGAGAGAGAGATTTGGGATCACGTGAGAAATTTTCATTTTCGTGAGAAGCGTGAGAAATGGAAAAGGTCCCCTTATGTTGTGTGAATGTTACGTTATACCACTTACACAGTCCACATGGACTTGAAATGTGTACTGAAAAGAAACTGTGATGATGGTAACCTCCACATGACTTCATACAATATAAAGTTATATTCACAGGTTTCACCCTAAGTCTACATTATATCATGTGAAGGTTATATTTCTCACACTTCTCCTGAAAATGGGTATTTCTCATGGGAACCAGCCCTAACATAGATATATAGAGGAAAGATCCAGGGGTTCCCAAACCACATTTTCCTAAACATAAAAATTATCCCCCACTACTTTTAATTGAAAATCAGCGAAATATAATCAAAACTGGAGCGAAATATATGACACTAAAATATCAATAATTTTATTCACTTTAATTTGACACCTATATTGATATACTTTTTCATTCGTTTTTATGTGGTTCCTTAGTTCTCCTCTTTTTGGGGTTCTCACTATATAAACACGTACAAAAAATACATACACCTACACACACACACATATATATATATATATATATAGAGAGAGAGAGAGAGGTGGCTTTATGGAGGATTAAATATATGCAGACCTTGCCTCAACCCTCAAGGGTTGAGAGGTTGTTTAGCGAAGACTCCAGCTTGTAAAACGGGAACATGAGGAAAAAGTGGCATAGTAACATTGTACATAGAATGTACGCAAGCATAAAACATACAACAAAGCATAAATAGAAGACATGAAAAATAGGAAAAACACAAACTCTCTAACAAGTAACAAGCATAAGATTCGAGTAACTTAACCCCACCTCTCCACCCTTCCCCTGCCCACCCTCTACCTTATCTAAACTTCCCTTCTACCCCGCTCATGTTATCTACAGGNTCGCAGGTTTGAATCTTGAACCGGAGCCGAGTTTTCCCACTACCCGCTAAACCAAAAAAAGTCCTTGTGAACTTATTTTCTCTTATATATATATATATTGTATATAATGGTCATACATACTAGATGCCTTTCTATGCCTGTCAGAGGAAGATAAGACATACCATGTAATGAACTACAACCATTTTTAATATAATATCGCATTTATAACCTGAAGTATGCCAAAAGACCATAATAATTCTCTCAAGGACTGTAAGAGTGCAGAAGACTGGTGATGTTGATTGGTATTGCTACATATGGATGAGCATAAAGTATAACCATGTTTTTTGCTGGGTTATTTAGAAGAATAACCTTGAGACAGATTTTTCATAATGTTTTTTAAATAACAGAAGTATGCCTCCAGAAGATTTTGCATTTAAAAAAACATCCGTCAAAAAGATTACTCTCCTAAATAACCCATTTTTGCTCTTTATAAGTGGGCATAACACATACTACCATAGTTTCATGTTTGGATGGTATGTTGATGGTTTGTACATTAGCCAGGCATATATGTTCCATAGCTAGATGGATGTTAAAAGTATGTGGAGTCCTCTTTCGGATCTCTTTCTAACATAACCGATGTGGTACCCTCAACAGGCACAAACCTCTTACAGCAATATGTAAACTAATAGATGTTGGTTGTTCATGTGTATAGGAGTTACTAACCAAGATAGTCGATGATGGTTTTGCCATTACTGAAACGACCAGAAGGAAGACCTTGATAAAAATCAACACCATATGGTACGTAGTTGGCTTTTGCAAGAGAATTGAGGTAATTGTTATTTCCGTTATCCGTTAATGAGTCTCCAAATGCAAACATTGCTGTCACCTCTGCTGCTGCTGCTATTAAACACTTGAAAGATACATCCATAAACACAATGCCAATTAGCACTGTCACTATTCTTGATCTCACTCTTTCTTTCTCCATCTCCCACTTCACATACACTTCACAACAGATATGAGGTTGACATCTGGTATATATATATATATACACACACACATACATATACATATACATATACATATATATATATATGTATGTATGTATATGTAACAGTCAACTATGGTTTTCCAGAGATGCTTGAAAGAAAGCCATAGTTTCATGCTTTTATGTTCAGTTACACTTGTGATTGTTTTTGTCATGCACATTTATCACTGGTCTTGCTTTTTCCCCCCTTCAGTTACTTTTCTTTTACTTCTTCCGTATTTGGGGGATAAGTTTTAGCAAGTATTAACGGCTTTGAAGTTTTGGTGGCATGCAACTATCCATTGTTCTAAAAGCACCCATTGAGGGACATCCGCTGCGCCCCTACTCTTTTTACTAATTTTCTGGAAACGCTTTTAGATTTTGTCATCAAACGAAAATCACAACTTTGTTTACGTTACAAAAAAAGTGTGAACAACAGAAAAAGGAAGTCTTTTTTTTATCACCGACTCACCATAAATTGCAACGGTATCATCTTGGGATGTCATATGTTCATTGTGTAGTCTCTTTTTCGGTGGACTCATACGAAAATTACTTATTTTGCCCCACTGTAACTGTTATTGAGCATTTGTTGTGTTGATTTTTGTCCACAAGATCGAAAATCAAGAGGTAGTCCTCCCATTTTGCCATATGGATTGATACTTCAAGACATTTGATTAGTACTTACATATACTTTTAGCTATATATGCATAGGATCAAGCGAAGACATATAGGGTATTAGTTTAAATGACGTCGGTACGGTAGAGGTGGGCATGAAGGACCGACAAGTGGCTAAGGCTCGGATGTGGACCGGCACCAGTTACATTTTAACCGGTTAAAGAGGGACCAGTTAAGTTAGGATGGGTTATAGCCTATCGGTTACCCTTTTTCTTAAGGACGAGTTGCAACCTTTTTTTTAAAGAAAAAAAAGTGTCATGTGGTGCTCCCCTATTGGTCAACGGTATTAGATAACTTTCTTAGAAAAAAAGAACAAGTTAAAGTGAATTGTCAATTACACATTTTAGGCCAAGGACTCCGTTATAAAGGTTAAAGATCGGTTATGTCGTAACGAGTTACGTGGTGGGGTTTTTTTGACGGCACCAGTTATAACAGTTAAGGGTCGGGTTGTGATTGGTATGTTTTTAGGATAAACCGAACAAAATGGCTGTCTGGCACGTGAAAGTTTGTGCTACCGTCTATATTCATAGAAAAGTCCCAAAAATCTTTTTGGAGCTATAAAATTGCTAGTAATATATGCTTCATCTATTGATGATTTGTCAAGGTTTTGTAACTTATAATAAGTTGTTTCAAATAAGCAATCCCAAACACCCCCATAGTTTATTTGTCTGTGCAAAAGGGTTTGTAACTAGCAACCTCTGAGTGTCCTGTCTCAAGAGGATTATGTGAGAATCAAATGAGGCATACATCATCTCGCTAAGTGGTTGACTTAAGAGTCAAGTGTGTTCAAGGAGCTCAATCTACGAAAGAATTGTAATTCCCATAATCTAGCTGTCAAATTCAAACTCTCACCTGTTTGTACAAAAATACTACCACAAAACCAATTGTTGGTGAATCCAGATGAAGAGGGTGTCAAATAAGTTTTATTGAGGACGATAAAGAGGAAGAACATTGAATAGTGAAAGGTTCTGACTTTTGTCATTCTCTATACCACTTCAAACCGCTCTTTAACCATTGACACCATCCCCATGTCAATTTACTAGGGCTGTAAACGATTCAACCTTTTTATGAATTATTCGAGTCTGAGTAGATCTTGAACACAAAAAAAGTCTCATTTAACTTGATGAGAGGATCTTCCTAACGTCATACATGATTACACATTTTTGAGTTGGGGCGAGCAATACAAAGCATATAATTTTATAAATTATGTAATAGAAGTATAAAAGAAAAAGTTGTAGTTGGAATGATTTGGAAAGTTGGTCTCATCATATTTACAAGGTAACTGCTACCCAAGTACCTGTTTTATTATTTTGAGGGACGTTTACTAAATACTTGTCGGGTAAGCACTTGACGGTATAACTTATTTTACCAGCTGAGCATTGCAAGAACTGAAAATCTTATCCGATAAGAGCTATAACAAGGATCAAGAGTCTGACCTGGTAAGTGAGGGAAAATAATTTTACCTGATAAATATTTACTAAGTTTAAAACACTTACCAACAATCAATTTTGATGACCGAGAGTATTACACGATCAGATTAAAAAGGGTAATTTTTTTTAATTATAAACGTTTATCTGATAAGTGTTTGGTAAACATCCCTTAGTATTTTATCAAAACTAGAATCTTATATTGTGAATATGATGTATTTTAATAATAGTTTTCATTGTTTTCAACTTTAAGAATGATGGTATTGTTAATTACATGGCATGTTATTCCATATGATGGTAGTAATTACATGTTATGTAATTCTAAACTCTCTTAAAACATGTTTTTCACACTTCAATACTAAAACAAAAATTTCAAGCCTCAATTAGTCTTATAAAAACAAACTTTTCTAACTCGAGTTTTAAACCTGCTCTCGATTTCGAAATGTATCAAAGCTCCGGGTAGTAAAAAAAATTGAACTAAATTCGAGCTAATAAACATATTAATCGATCTTGAATTCGAGCCTATAAATGAGCTTATAAAGTTTCAATTTTAGAAACATATTGTGTAAATTAAACTTGTTAAATGAGCCCGAGAAATTATTCGAGCTCGAGTACCCATAATCGGGACCGGTACCCCATAACCGGTTACACATTGGCTTGACTGGTCTTCACCATTTCGGCGGGGACTACGACCGGTTACGCTAGGACCAGTTACCGTCGGTTATGCTCATTGCAGGGCTTGATTGAGACTGTTCCTGACCTGTTTTTGGCCATCACTATTTTGATGGAACGATTTCATGTAACCATGGTTTATTTTAAAATTGAATGTAACCTGTTAATAAGTTTCTAAAGTTTATTGGAGAGTAGTTGGGGTTCATCAAATCACATAGACCCTATTACCAGACCAAACTATGTGGTTTGATATGCAATTTTGAACTACAAAATTGTGGTTTTAACAAAATTGCATATTAATTATCATATATACAAATATATGTCGTATTTTGTTAAAAAGACTGATATTTCGAAACTAAGGAAATGTTACAAGTCCATTGCACAAAGATCACAAATGAGTTGCGAAGTCTCAAATGGACACGAAAAGTGCTCCAAAATGTTTAGAAAACAGGTTTAAAGTGTGAAATGAATTACAAAAAGTGTCGTGAAATGTTTGCAAAACCAATGGAATTATTTTATTTGGCATGTAATATGACTATTTTGCCCTTTGCTAAAGTGTGTGTATGAGGCATCAACTGAATGACAAGTGGACTGGAAACACATGATTTGGTAGTCCATCATATCCAATTCACCACAAATGACCACTCAGCTTAGCTGTTAATTAGTTGTGTTGTGCCTCCCAATTCTATAAATATGCTATCCATTCAAATAATGTCACCATAATTTATATAAATACATACCTTCTCTCTCTATATGGGTGGAACACGAGACTTATATAACAAAACTAATCTTCTTTATAAATATGTCACGTAAGCATGTAGTGTTATATATGAATTTTTTAACCAAATTTTGTATATTAAAAATATAAGATAAAGACGACCAAGATAATATTCCAAAGTAAATACTCTTAGAATCATAGCTTCCTTGTGTTTTTACATACATAATATATATATATATATATATATATATATAATTTAAAATTTTTATGACGTCCATCATTCCACTACAAAAAAATTGGCTTTATACGACATCATACATTATAGATCTTAGTTTTATAGGACCAAAATATAACAATTTATATCTAAAACCATTACAATAGGTTTATAGAACGTTTTTAAGCATTTTAACAAATTCTTTATGACGCTTTAAGATAAAGTGTCCTATTAGCTATTTTATCGGACACCTTTTAGAAGTGTCTTATAAATCCGTCTTTTTATACAACATTTGTGTTTACTTAACACTTTTTCAAATAGTGTCATATATTATAGTTAATACTACACTTTATTACAAAACCGTCATAAAAAACTTGTTACAATGCATAAAAACGTCATATTAACCTATTATAGCATTTTTAGATGTCACTTTTTGGTTTGGTCTAATAAACTTAAGTCCTATAATATATTTTTTAGGACGCTTCTACATTTTAGGTATTCTATAAAATTAATTTAGCTATAGTGATTATAATAAGAAATTGATGTATTGTTTTGATAATCTTAAATTGAATCTTCCTTAAAAGTTATTGTTCGTTTACTAGAATCAGTTACACTGTTTTAATCTTGTCTTCTGATCGAGCTCAATAACATATTTTATAGATTTTGATCTCAATCCGTTAATACATACTCTTCTAACCCATGAATTAACACGTCTTTAAAATAAAGTGTCCTGTTAATTAACACGTTTTTAAAATAAAAGTGTCTTATTAATTAACACATTTTTTAAATAAAGTGTCCTATTATAGGACACTTTTGAGAATTGTCTTATAAAACCGTCTACTTATAGGACATTTGTGTTTATATAACATCTTTTCAAATAGTCTTCTATAAAATAGTTAATAATACACTTTGTAAAATGCATAAAACGTCTAAAAATGCCTAAAATGCAAAAAAAAAAACATCCTATAAACTTATTGCAACAGCTTTAGATAGAACGTTTTTTTGGTTTGATCCTATAATTATCGTAAGTCCTATAAAGTATTTTTCTAAAACGCTTCTATATTTTAGGCGTCCTATAAAATTAGTTTTTAGTGATAATTGATATTTTATAACTCTTGATCTTTTATATTGGTTGTTTTGATAGGTATGAAAAACCCATTTTGAAAAAAAAAAAACAAAACTTTTGAGTTATCATTTTTAAATACCAAGA